TTAAGGGGGGCACTGGATTCAACTTATAATAGACTCTGGTGAAGTCTAGTTACCAGCTTACTGACTTTCGGAGGCATTTGACCATTTTAACCTTAAAAAAAGCTCACAGTTATGCCACATCTAAAAGATTAATCACAGTAGAAAACAGCAAATGTTCCTGGTTGCAACATGAGAGGTGTGAAAATTCAGTGCAGGAATAATTTTGCACCGTTTCTAAGTGAGCTTGCTGCAGCGTTGCTCTGCATGCTGCTGCTCTGGTCTGCACAGCTGCACTGCAGAGGCTTTTCAGTCTGAAATAGCTGAGCTCAGACCAGATGAATCATGGTGTTTCCACTGGATGCAGCTGCTTTATGTCGGCATGACAGACGTCAAGCAGATTTATCTGAAACCTGAGCTGATACCAAATGTTTTTGCCAGTTCCAGGCAGATCTTGCTCATGATCTCTGAATTCTCTCATGCACCTACTTATTCTCCTCCACACCAGCTGTTGTCCCTCTCTCACCTCTTCCTACACAGCCTCTCTCTCTGTACATCATCTCCTCTTTCTCCCTCTCTTCTGCTTCCTATTTCCCATCCCCTTTCTCTCCTCTCAGAGTGGCGACAACATGACTGCCTGCGTCAGCCAGCCCCCTTCCAACCAGTGAGCGCTTGCTGCTGGAGGTTGCTGTATCCTGCAGAGAGCCAAATGTGTGTGTGTGTGTAATAGTATGAGCGTACGCAGATGGGAAAACAAGTGAGTCAGGAAGGGCTGCCTCTCATCACCATCTTTCCCTCCTCTCCTCCTTCTCTGGCATGGAGCTCCAGCGGAGTGAATCCAGACCAGATCTGCACAAAGGGCTGAGGTAGTGATGTGTGTTTGATGCACAAGGTTGTTTTATTTCTTTTTTGCATGCAGCCTGATGAAGTGCATTGGTCTGTTTGTGTGTGTTTGTGCGTAGAGCTGATCTGATGTGTGTAATCCTCCTGTCAGCTCAAAGCTCTAAGCATCCATAGGCAGAGCTGTCAGCTCCTGTCTTTCACTCGTATTAGTTGGTTTCTCTAGTTCATCACAACATTGATGTTGCAGATTATGTGTGTTTCTTTAACGCCTCTCTTCCTGCTCTATGGGTACCTTTGCAGATCACATGACCCACACAGCAAGCCAGCTCTGGGAGCTGCTAACTCTGCCTCCTTTTTATTGTTAGATGTGTGCCATATTGATCCAAGCCAGCCTGAGAATGTTTGGATTTGCAGTGATGGAGGATTACTCTGCAGATCAAAGCTTTAAAGACTGAATTATTGAACAGTGGGCCATGTCACTTTGAGACAAACTCTCTGTTCCCCTTTAATTCAACTCATTGTCAGGAGGTTTGATCTGATCAGAATCTATTTGTCTGTAAATAGCTTTTACTAGATACAAACTCAACCCATTTTTACTGATTCGCTTCACATGCATACCCTTTGAATTGTATCATATTTTTGTCCTTTTACAACCAAAAACATCTTTAGATGGTCTTTTTTGTTGTTTTTTTATTTGATTCTACCCTGACACCTCTAAATAAGATACACACTGCAAAACCATCTAGAAATAAGTACAAAATTTCTTAAAATAAGTGCATTTACCCTTAATTTTAGTAGGTAAATAATAAGATTTGCCAATGGAATGAGTATTTCTACTCCTAGAATAAGACAATTAGATAATATTCACTTGAAATAAGACAAAGCAATTGTTTTTTTTCTTATTTTAAATGTAAATTGTCTTGTTCCTTTGGCGAGGTGTCTCACTTATCTCCTCAATTCAAGACAAAATTCACTCAATTTAAGCAAAAATTACTCATACAGATTTCCATGTTTTGCAGTACAGATGAGACAGAGGACAAACCATTGCCACTGGAAAAAAATCCAAATCTAGATCAGTCATTTTTTCTCAAAATAACTGCATTTGTTCTTGAATTGAGGAGGTCAAAGAGACATTATGCCAATGGAACAAGACAGTTTACCTTTATAATAATTGCATTGTCTTATTTCAAGTGCATTTTGTCTAAATATCTTATTTTAAGAGTAAAAACACTCATTCCATTGGAAGATCATCTCATTCAAATATTCAAATTAAGGGTAAATACGCTTAATTTAAGAATTTTTGTACTTATTTCTAGATAGTTTTTCCAGTGTGGACATGTGGCACCTTAACACACATCTTTACCGTTAAACATGGGAGGATGAATCAAACTCTGAATGCATGTATTTCTTCCAGGTACAGAAGAATAGATCATAAACATAGGGAATATCAAAGCAGCTAAATACATGGCATTCCTGGAAGAAAAGGGTTTACTTTTCAGTTGGACAAAGACCCCAAACTTTCATCTGTAGCCCTCGTTCCCATTGGATCAAAGCATAATAATGTTTTAGAATGGTACAGTTAAAATCTAGACAAAATACAATCTATATAGCAAGTTTCTATGCCACCTGATTGAGTTTGAGCTTTTTGCAAATAAATGATGCAGAAAACTTCCAGAGACAAAAACACACAAAAAAATTCTGCCATTTCAACAAATGGCAGATCTAAAAAAAAGAAATGTTTGCATTTAGAAAAATAATATAAAATGTGTTAAGACTTTGTAAGGACTTAAGCTTTTTTCTACCTCATCTTTAAGTTGATTACAACTTTAATCAGGAGCAGAGAAGAAATGAAAGTAATTGTTTATCTAAATCTGTCAACACAACATGACACCGTGATGCTGAAAAGTTTTATTTCCACCCAGCTTTGCACCAAATCGTTCCCCACAGATAAACATGTCTCCCTATGCTCTGATAAAAATGATCGTACTAATGTAGATCCTTGTTTAAGCAGGTAGATGTTTTTGAGTGTGTGCCGCTCCGGCCAGGATGGAGAGTGTGTGTCTGAGGACATGGACGTCAGGCTCTGCTGTTGTGTTCTTCAACACACTGGCCCTGTCCTGGGCAGGTAAGACACACGCCAACACGAAAAATTGAATGGATCGCTGCCTATTTATCCATTAAGAATACTGGGAGTCAGAAAAAACAGAACATGTTCATGACTAGCAAATAGGAAAAACTAATAGCCTAAAGTCTGACCTATAATATATTGAAGAGTCCCTTTGTGTCATTAACCTTCTTATGACCCAAAACTTGTCCTATCAGACAGAAAAGCCAAATTTTGGAGTTCTAGTGGCTGCCTCTTTAAGCCCATTAAATAATAATAATTGAAGTTTACTGATCTCATGTTGGAGAAATTAACTCTCTGCATTTAACCCATCCCCTTCGGGTGCAGTGGGCTGCCATCATGGGGCGCCCGGGGGCATAAGGGTCTTTGCTCAGAGACCAAGAGTGGCAGTCTGTGGGAGTGGGGCTTGAACTCACAACCTCCAAGCTCTATGCCTAGTGGCATAGAGCTTGGAGGTTGATAACCACTAGGCCACCACTCCTCTTCCCCTTTAATTTGTAAGATCCTTGATGCTCCCTAAGGGCTGCAAGCTGGTCTCTGCTCCCCAAGTATAATGCAGAGGATTAATTTCTTTGTCATTTTTGTTTGCAAAGGTAAGTAAAAGTGGATATTCTTGAAACTTGGTATCCAGAAGAGATGACGGTCGGCTAAAAGACGGTCTGTTACTCAAAACCAGCCCAGATCATCACCCCTCCTACACCATGTCTGACTAATGGTATTGGGTGTTTTTATGCTGATGTTATTTTTGCAGAAAACTAGCTTTCAGGTTGAATTTAATGTGACATTCAACTAAACTGTAGATTTAATTGAATAGTGTGTGTGTTGGTAAAAGTAGACACCCATACCCTTTTTCTCTAATGAATTTATTTTACATTTTTTAGCTTCTCTAAGAGAAAGCTTCTCTCAGAAACCTCTTGTTAAATGGTTGTAGCGAAGACTGATCAGGTACTACAGGAGACCTAACTGGCAGACCTCGCTGAGGACTCAACTCAAAAGTTGGATCAAGACTTCTCTGATGCTCACAACAGCGATTTCCAACATTGCTGGTGGTTCTGGTTGATGAGCAAGTCAGTCTTGTCTTTCAAAGTTAAATCTTTTTGAACCTATCCGATTAAACAAAAGGTGCGGCTCTAGAGTAAGTTTTATGAAGGATTAGGTTCTAATGTTTAAAAGTGTTCATAGTTCATCCTAAAGCTCTTCTTAGCCTCCAGATGAAATGATGCTTATTTTGGTACCTTTAATAGAAGCCCAACTTGCCTTATTTTGACCCTTTAAGGTTGTCAGGGCACTAAAGATGTAAAGAATTAAATAAAGCTATATTAAGATGAAACATTTACTTTGACTATGATTACGTCTGCTGTAATATGTTATTAATGCTATTCTTGGTGCTGTACTGTAGGTGCTATCGAACCTGCTCCTAAAATCGATGGGCGGCAGCAGGCAGCCGTGACACTTCAGGAGAACATGACACACAGATTCAACTGCCAATCAGATGGCTGGGATCCTCGGGCCCCGCCCCTATTGACCTGGTACCTGAATGGGAAGCAGCAGACGGAGCCTTCACCGAACCGCGGCCGTCTGGTGATGACGTCACAGAAGGACTCTGAGGTCTTGAGACCGGGGACCAATAGCAACAGTAGCTTCACTCTACGGGCCAAGAAGTGGGACAGGGAGCTGGTGTGTGTGGCATCCAACCCCCGGACAGGGGAAAGCTACAATGCAACAGTCACGCTCAATGTCCAGTGTGAGTGTGGGTTAAATGTTTTATAGAGTTTGCATCCAGGATAATGTCTGGACTGGCATTATCAGACATCTATCATCTCCTCTGTCTCCCAGTCCAGCCAGAGATCCTCAGGGTAAACGCCCACTACAGTGAAACCTCAGACCCCGGCCTCTCCCTGGTCCTGTTCGCCTTGGTACGCTCCAACCCTCCTGCCACCATCACTTTCGTGGACCAGTCAGGCCAGCTGGTGGCCAATACATCCGACTTCCTCATCCTGGACTCTCGAAGCTACCCTTGGCTGACCAACCACACCCTGAGGGTCACACTGAGTAGTCTATCAGGGAACCTAACAGTGAATGCCAGCAACAGCGTGGGAATGGCTCAGAGCAACCTCACACTGGCAGGTTAGTGATTATAATTTCAATTCAATTCTTTTATTAAGGG